AAGAAGCTACTCCCCCCGCCACAGAAGCAGCCCTGAGGACCGATATAGCTGTATCCCTGACCCTAAACATTATAAGACAGAAACCAAAATAGCCCACAGACTCAGTGGTTGTAACGGTCAAGGACGGAGAGGGGAGGGGAGAGGGAGGGAATCGGTCATTTGTCGTCTTATAACCCCAACAAGGTACATGCTCCTGTTCACTTCTCAGCTGACTCTGGACACAGATGGAACACATTTGGCTGCAATGACAAGGAGGACACTCAGTGTAGCAGAAGCTGGGGTTTAGGCTGATCTCTAGTTTCTAAAGTGAGAAACCACTCTTCTCCAAAAGAAATTCAGTGATTTATTTACTAATTTTCATAAAATTTTTTTGCTGATTATCTATTTAATATTCATATAGAAAACTTGAAGTAACACACACAAAAAATAAATAATGAAATATCAGTCATCTTTTATCTCGTCTTACAAAGATTTCTGCCGATAGCTTTTTGGTAAACCTCTGTGTATGTTTAGTTTTTGTGCCTATTTTCTTTTTCCTTTGACACATTTGGGATTATACTGCAATTATGGTTTCCGTTTAGTCCCTACATTAAAGACTACCTATAACCCGAAATAGCAATTCTTCCTCAGGGACATACATTAAAATCAATCATAGATGTTACTTTTAAAAACTAAGTTTAAAATAAAATAAAAACAAGCCTTCCCTTGGAAATGATGACTCAGTAAATAAGAGATTGATGGAACTTGGGCATCTTTAGATTTTTTTAAGCTCATCCTGTGATTCTGATATGTAATATCACCAGTTGTGAATTAGTACACTCTAATGGGAAGAAAAAATAGCAATGGATTTCCTATAATATGTATACAAACATCTTTATTTTTAATATTGCATCTTGTTTTTATTATAAGTACTTTCCTATATCACAGAATAATTCTTTTTTATTGTGGTAAAACATACATAACACAAAATTTACCATTTTAGTCATTTTTGAGTGTACAATTCAGTGTCATTAGTACTTTCACCATCTTGTATAACCATTACCACTATCTATTTCCAGAACTTTTTCATCATGCCAAACAGAAACTCTATACCCATTCCTCCCATATCCCCAGCCCCTGGAGAGAAATAATATCTTTTAAACATCATTTCATACTGAGTATAAAATATTCCTTATATGGAAATGCTATTATTTACTTAGAGGATAAATAATAGGATAGGATATCCTTATATAGATATGCTATTATTATGGATATGCGCCATTCTTATGATTTTGGGCAATTATATTGCTTCCAGATTTTTCTTCCTAAAACTGCAGCAAACATCTGCGTGTGTGTGTATGTTTCTATTTGCTTCTTCTTTATAGCTCCTATTTATATACTGAGATATTCTATTTTTCTTTTTGTGTCAAGTGCATTTGCAATTGCTTGTTGGAGCATTTGTATAATAGATGGTATAAAATCTTTATCATATAATTCCATATGTATATTCATGTATATAATTCACATGTACATACTATATAATTATATACTTTATATAGCTATTATCATATCCTTGAAATAAATGCCTCGAAGTGAATTTACTGGATGATATGTGCAGTATTTTAAAGCTTTGATGCTCTTGACGAAGTAGTTTGATCAAATGTTCATGTTTATTATCAAAAAAGACTTCTACCACATTCTCCCTAAAACTGTTTATTATATTTAGTAGATAAATAATAATACCCAGTAGTTCTGAGTTCTCTTAAACAGCTTATTAAAGAAGAGTATATTTGTTTTACATGTTTATTAGCCATCTCTTATTTTGTAAACTATCAAAATATTTGACTGTTTATCTGTTCAAGTCTTGCTGTTCATTTTTATTCATTTTTTAGTTTAACATTGATATAGAATACTTACCTTTTGCCAGTGATATTTGTGGCAAATATTATTTCGAGTTTGTTGTTGAATTATTAATTGTGTTTTTTATTTTCAAAAACCAAAGTGTGAAATGTTTACATGACAAAATTTTTAACCTTTGGGAATTTTGTCTTTTGTTTTTACCTTAAAAAGTTCTTCCTCAAACAAAGAGTCAATAACCACTTATTTTTTAGATTTTCGTGGTTTATTTTTTTCCGTTTAACTCTTAGGTGTACCTAGAATTGATTTTGAGGTTTTATATCCAGTGAAAAGTAAACTTTCTTCCACTAATAACTAACCCATTGCTGGGTATCCGTTTGTCAAAACTCTTCCCCACTGATTTATAATTGCGTCTTCAACATAGGTGTCAGAATTCAGGGTGCTGGGTCTGTTTCAGGACTACCCATTCTATTTCAATGCTTACCTTTTTCTCCTTATACCAGTGTCACATTGTTATAATCATTTCATTTATTTTTTTAACTGTTTTTAATATATTTACTACTTTTTAAAAATTTATTTTAAAGATTGGCACCAGAGCTAACAACCGTTGACAATTTTTTTTCCTGCTTTTTCTCCCCAAATCCCCCCAGTACATAGTTGTATATTTTAGTTGTGGGTCCTTCTAGTTGTAGCATGTAGGATTCCCGCCTCAGCATGGCCTGATGAGCAGTGCCATGTCCATGCCCGGGATCCAAACTGGAGAAACCCTGGGCCGCTGAAGCTGAGCACACGAACTTAACCACTTGGCCACGGGGCAGGCCCCACATTTACTACTTTCGCCACAGGGTTCTCAAATATCTTTTATTAGATTTATTACTCAATAGTCGATAGTTTTGATGTGATTTTTAAATGATAGCTCAAAATTTTTAAAAGTTTTCTGTTTCACACTCATACTTAGAATACAATTAACGTCACAGTGTATGTAAGTCAAACATTATGCTGTACACCCAAACCCGTACAGTGCTATGTCAACCATAGCTCAATGAAACTGGAAAAAAAAATTTTTTAAAGAATACAATTAATGAATTTACAATAATATTTATTTCTAGCAGCCTTATTAAACTTCGTTTTCAATGTGAGCAATTTAGCTGCAGATTTATTTGGATTTTTAACATACATAATCATATTATCAAGAATAATAGTTTTGTTTAGTCCTTTCTAATTTTTATACTATTTTTGTGTTTGTTGAATTGGGCTGGCTGGGATCTCCAGCACAATGTTGGGTAGATGAGGTGAAAGAAGACATTTTTGCTTGACACAAACTGTAAAGGAAATGCTTCCAACATTTCACTGTTCAATATTAAGTTTGATTTCCCTTTTCATAAATATCTATTATGAAGGATAGTTTTAAACTCTTATTAATAACCTTTTTTTCGTCCATGTTAAGATGAGTATATGACTTTTCAGTTGATAAAGTTAATTATGTTCACTGATTTTCTAAAGTTAAGCAAATCTTACATTTCTGGAATAAACCCAACTTCGTCATGATGTATTAAGCAGTTGCTATCTTGCTAGATCATAAACATGCGTATATGTGTCTTCAGTCTTTACCAGATATCTTTTATTGGATTTCTACTTTTTAATTCAGTTGCAATCAGAGAATATTATTTGTATGATTTCAGTTCTTTTAGTTTCTTTTTATTTGTTTTATATCCCCAAATATAATTTATCTTGGCAGACATTGTGTGAACTTGAAAAGAATTCATCTTTTGTATTTTTTTAACTTTTAATTTTTATTATGGAGAATTTCTAGAATATACAAAATAGATAGGATTATATTATAAAATCCTATGTACTCAACACCCAAGTTCAATAGTGTATTTTTTTTTAAAAAGCATGATAAAAAGCACAAAAGAAATGACAAAGAAAAAGAAGAGAGGAAACTTGTAATCTGACCATTGCATCCTATTCATTTATGACTTAGTCTCTATCAATAAAACAAGTATAAAATAGTAAGACCCATGTAATATGATAGAGGAAAAACAGTTGTTCCAAGAAACCTAGCTAAGGAGAGCCAGTGAAATTGGACAAAGAGTATATGAGGTTCTGATATTCATGAAAGGCAGCACAAAAAGAAAACCTAAGTCATATAAAAAGCATGCGAGTTCATAAGAAGTGATGAACCTTTTCTTTATATGAAATTCAAAGAGGAATGTTTTATTTAAACAGTGTTGAACAAAATGGACAATGTCTTCCAAAGTAGAGATGCAAAAGATAACAAAGCAAACTTTAGATTACTTTTTCTTTTCTCAACTTTGGATAAAAACCAAAGTCTGTTTTTAATCACTGTCTTGAGTATGTTTCAACCAAGAGCTAAAGTAATATCATCCAGGTATACAGTTTTTTTAAATTGCTTAGAGAATCGAAGACCTTAAGTCACATTTTTAATTAATGGTGCCTGTGTCGTGACTAAAAGACTGATAAACATGTAATGTTCTCTTCTTAGAAAAAATAGGAAATTGAGGCAACTTGCTTTTGACTGGTGATTCTCAAAGTATGGTGTAAGGCTTTTTATGATAAGAGTTAAATGAATTAAAAAATGCATGTTTTAAGGTTCTTGTTCCAAGTAAGATGGACTAGGCATGCCCCATGCTGTATCTCCCATTGAATACAACTATAAAATCTGGACAGACTGCGTAAAGCAATCATTTGAGGACTTTGAAAAATAATTCGTAGCAGGTGGATTGGGGAAGAAGACTAGAATTTGAAGTACCACCAAAATGGTTGTGAGTTTATCCTTTGTCCCTCCCAGTATCCCTGAATACAATGCAGTCTAAAACCCCAAAGAGAACACTGAGGTGCAGACGTTGCTCCAAGAGGAGTCTTGTAGTCTGGGCTTGAGAAGAGGGGAAAAGGAGCTCCTACGACTCTGAAATAGTGTGGAAATCCCCTGTTTTACCTTTTTTTTTTCTTCTCTTAGCTCTCTCCCACCCTGTCCTCCAAGTAATGCCCTAGTGGCAGTGACAGAAACAGCAACTGGAGCTAGCAGGAGCCAAAACTCTGAGGGAAAGGAGCCTTTCTTCCAACAGGTAGAGATGTGATCCCAAGAGAGTGGGGCAAACCCTCCATTTCATTTAATTCTTTCTCTGTACTTTTACTTCTAGGGTCCAGACATGGGTGCAGTTACAGATGTGCATGAGAGAGAGGGTAACTAAAGCCCCAACTATCAGGCCAGGGTGCCAAGAAGAGGAGCCCCAGGGAACTGAGAAGTACCAGAGGAATTGCAGAGGAGGAACTCAAGAAAGCAACTCCATAAAGTTATTTATGAATACATGGGCTCACCCTGAGCTCTGTATGCATGAATCTGATTCTAATCAGCAGACCAAAGACTATGAAAGACCATGAGAACTGAACTAACAGATAGACCACAGCCAAGGTCCCAAACTAACCACTGAGTGACACACATGTGGGACAGATCCTAATAACACTGAAAAGGCTTTGAAAATTGAAATGACATTGGAAACAGTGCCCATAGGTTGGAATTTGTGGTCTGAATCTAACCAGTGTGATTGACTGTTAAAACAAAAATATCCAGAATTTTCATCAAATTTAAGTGAGACACAGAGTTTTATAATGTAATAGTCAAAATGTTCAGAATATAATCCAAATTACTAGGCATGCAAAGAATGAAAGAAACTTCAAACTGCATGGGAAAGGCAATCAACTGACATCAATACCACAATGACACAGATATTGGAATTATCTGACAGACTTTACAGCACCTGTTATATCAGTGCTCCAACAAGCAATCACAAACACACTTAAGATAAATTAGGGGCCAGCCCAGTGGCGCAGTGCTTAAGTGCGCACGTTCTACTTCAGTGGCCTGCAGTTCACCGGTTCTGATCCCAGGTGTGGACATAGCACCACTTGGCAAGCCATGCTGTGGTAGGCATCCCACATATAAAGTAGAGGAAGATGGGCATGGATATTAGCTTAGGGCCAGTCTTCCTCAGCAGAAAGAGGAGTATTGGCAGCAAATGTTAGCTCAGGGCTGATCTTCCTCAAAATAATTAATTAATTAATTAATTAATTAATTAAAAAATAGAATGTCTCAACAAAGAAATAGAAAATGTAATGAAGAACCAAACAAATTTTAGAACTGGAAAATGCAACAACCAAAATAAAAAGCTCATTGTATGGGATAAATAGCAGATTGGAGATGACAAAGGAAAGAGTCAGTGAATTTGAAGACAGATCGATATGAATTATCTAATATGGACAAGAGAGAAAAAACATTTCTAAAAAATGAACAAAGCCTCAAGCATACATGGACCACTAACAAAAAGTCTAACATCTATGTCATAAGAGTCCCAGGAGAAGAGAAGGAGGAGTGCAGTGCTGAATAAATATTTGAAGAAACAATAGCTGAAAACTTCCCAAGTTTGGCAAAAGACATTTATCTACAGATTCAAGAAGCTTGGCAAGACTGAAACTGGATAAACCCAAAGAAATTCAAGACCAAACATAACAAAATTACTGCATTAAAGAAAAGAAAAATTTCTTGAAAGTAGCCAGAGAAAAACAATACGTTATCTAGAGGGAAACAATGAGTCAAGCGGCTGTAGGTTTCTCAGTCTGAAGAAAGTGGCACAACATTTTTAAAGTGCTAAAAGTAAAGAACTGTCGACTCAGAATTCTAGGTCCAGTGAAAAAATCCATCAGGAGTGAAGGTAACATAAAAATATTCTCACTGAGGGAAAACTAAAAGAATCCATTGCCAGCAGATCTGCTCCAGAAGAATTGCCCAAGGAAGTTCTTCGCCAGAAGAGAAAATACACCAGAAGGAAAAACTGGAACATTGGGAATGAAGGAAAAGCAAAATAAATGGTAAATATCTGGGTAAATATAAAGAATTCTCAGCTGGGTTTTTTAGAATATATTTGGTGACTGAAAGCAAAAATTGTGACGTTGCATGTGGAATTTTTGATGTATGTAGATATGACACATAACATGGCTGTAACAAGGGGGAATGTAATGAGACGTACATGGTGGTAAGGATTCTACAGTCCACATAAAGTGGTAAAATACTACCTCTAAAGGGATTTTGTGACATTCAGTATGTATATGCTTTAATCATTAGGGCAATGGCTTAAAAGCTATATAAAGAGATATGGTCAAAATCATAATAGATAAATTAAAATGGAATGCTAAAAGTGTTCAAATCTCCCAAAATGCAGGAAGGGGGTAATAGAGTAACAAAAACACAGAGAAAAATAAGAAACAAATAATAAAATTGCAGTAATAAATATCAGTAAGTACATTATATTTAAACAGTCTAAAAACACCAATTAAAAGATGGAGATTGTCACAATGGATTTTTTTAAAATGACCTTATATGTTACCTACAAGAAACTCACTTTAAATATGATATAGGAGGGTTAAAAGTAAAATAGTGGAAGAAGGTATACCAAGAAAACACTAATCAAAAGAAACCTGGAGTGGTGTTATTAATATCAGACAAAGTAGACTTCACATATAAAAACAGGGATAAAAATGGATATTACATAATGATAAAAGGATCAAGCAGCCAAAAAGACCTAATAATCTTAAATGTTTTGTGCCTAATAACATATTTTCAAAATTCATGAAAAAAGTACTGACATAACTGCAAGGCTAAATAGGTAAATTCACAATTATAGTTGAAATCTTCAACAAATCGCTCTTGGTCATAGACGGATTAGTAGACAGACAATCAGCAAGGATATAGTAGAATTCAATAACACCATTGACCAACTGGATCTAATTGATTTTTTCTTTTTTTTTTTTTCCCTAATGATATCATTGGACTGTTTCTGCTCTGCTGCTGACATTTTTTTTTTTCGGAAGATTGTATATATCCTAGTTTATATCCCAGTTGTAGGTCCTCCTAGTTCTTCTTGTGGAAAGCTGCCTCAGCATGCTATGAACATGCTGGCCCCCTCTAATTGATTTTTATAGAACATTCCACCAAGCTATATCAAAATACACATTTTGTCCAACTATACATGGAAATTCACCAAGATGGACTATATCTTGAATTATAAATCAAACTTTAACAAATTTAAAAGAACTAAATATAAAGTATGTTCTCAGACCATAAAATTAAGCTAGAAATCAATAAAGGAAAGATAGCAAAATACTCCAAACATTTGGAAATTAAACAACTCATGTCTAAATAACCCATAGGTCAAAGAGGAAGTCTCAAGGGAAATTAAAAAATATTTCAGGGGCCGGCCCCATGGCTGAGTGGTTAAGTTTTTGAGCTCCACTTTGGTGGCCCAGGGTTACGCCAGTTCAGATCCTGGGCACAGACATGGCACCACTCATCAGGTCACGCTGAGGTAGCATCTCACATGCCACAACTAGAGGCACTCCCAACTAAAATATACAAGTATGTACTGGGGGCTTTGGGGAGAAGAAGAAGGAAAAAAAAAAAGATTGGCAACAGTTGTTGGCTCAGGTGCCAATCTTAAAAAGAAAAAAGAAAGAAAGAAAATATTTCAAACTGAAAGAAAATGAAAATAAAACATTTAAAAAAATTGTAGGATGTAGTTAAATCAGTCCTTAGAGGGAAATATGTAGCATTAAATACTTATATAAGGAACGAAGAAAGGTCTCAAATCAATTATCTGTTTCCACCACAAGAAACTGAAAAAACAAAAAAGGGGAAAACAAATCCAAAGCAAGGAAAACGAAAGAAAAGATAAAGATAAGAGCAGTAGCCAATGAATTGAAAACAAAAATAACAAAGAAAAACAATAAAACCAAAAGCCAGTTCTTTCAAAAGAGCAATAAAATTAAATTTCCTGACAAAGAAAAAAAAGGGAGGAGAAAAAATTAGCAATATCAGGAATAAGATGAGGATATCATTACAGGCTCCACAAACACTGAAAGGATAAAGGAAGGCTACAAAAAAAAATCTCTACACATAATCTCAACAATATAGAAGAAATGGGCCAATTTCTTGAAAACTGTAAACTACTAAACTCACCCAAGATAAAATATACGATATGAATAGTCCTAAAACTATTAAAGAAATTGAATTTGTATTTAAAATAGTTTGCAAAAAAGAAATCTCCAGGCCCATGTGGTTTGACTGGCAAATTCTACCAAACAGTTGAAGATATAACACCAATGCTACACAATCTCTTCCAGAAAATAAAGGAGGAGAGAACACGTTCTCTCATTTAATCAGACCAGCATTAACCTGATACTAAACCAAACAGCAATTCCAAAAATAGAAAACTACAGAATGACATCAAGAACATAAATGCAAAAATCCCCAACAAAATATTATCAAATCGAATCCAACACTGTATAAAATGGTAACATGCCATGACTAAATGGAGTTTATCCCAGGAATACAACACTGGTTTAATATTTGAAAATCAATCATTGTAATTCACCATATTAGCAGTCTAAAGAAGAAAAACCACATGATCATTTTAATTGATACAAAAAAGTTCAACATTGTAAAAACAATCTGAAAACTAGGAACAAAAAAGAACTTTTTCAATTTATAAAGATATCTACAAAAAAAACCTACAGCCAAAATAATACTTAATGGTGAAAGACTGAATGTTTCCTCTAAGATCAGGAACAGGTTAACAATGTCCAATCTTACCGCTCCTATTCAACATCAAAGTGAAAGTCTGACCCAATACAATAAGATAATAAAAGGGAAAAAGGCATACATATTGGAAAGGAAAAAATAAAACTGTCCTTATTTGCAGATGATGTAATTATCTACGTAGAAAAACCCAAGGAATCTATACAAAAATTCTGGGAACTTTAACAGAGTTTAACAAGGTTGCAAAGTATAAGAACATAAGAAAATTAAACTGTATACTGGCAATGCAAAATTGTAAACTAATTTTTCTTTAAATACCACTTACAATAGCTCCAAATATATATATTATATAGTAGAACATGAATAGGATCTGTCTGCTGAAAACTCCAAAATATTGATGTTTGTAGCAGCTCTATTCATAATCACCAAAAACTTGAAGCAACCTAGGTTTCCTTCAACAGTGAAAGGATAAATAAACTGTGGTATACACATACAATGGAATATTTCTCAGTTGTTAAAAAAAAAAAAAAAGGAATGAACTATTGATACACACAGTAGCATGGATGAATCTCAAAGTCTTTGTGGCAGGTGAAGGGGAGGGTCATAGTGTCAGAGGAAGCCAGCTAAAACAGAAGGTTTAAAACGTTTAAATAAAATCCAGAGTCTCATAATATAATATCCAACTATCCATGTTTAATCATAGACCACTCATCACACCAAGAACCAAGGAGATCTCAAACAACAGAAAAAGACAATCGACATATGTTAACACCAAGATGGCAGTGATGTTAGAATTGTCTGATAAGGAATTTAAAGCAGCCATCATAAAAATACTTCAATGAGCAATCATGAAAAAAATTTAAACAAATTTAAAAAATAGAAATTCTCAAAAAAATTAAAAATATAAAGAAGAATCAAATGGAAATTTTAGAACTGAAAAACACATTAACCAAAATTTTACAACTCAGCGAATGGGCTTGACATCAGAATGGAGGGGACAGAGGAAAGAATCAGTGAACTGGAAGACAGAATGGTGGAAATTACCCAATCAGAATAATGGAGAGAAAATATTCTGAAAAAAAATGAACAGAGCCCCAGGAGCCTGTGGAACTATAACATTTGTGGTTTCAAAGTCCACAAAGGAGAGGAGAAAAAGGACAGGGCTAAAGAGTACTCGAAGAATTAATGGCTGAAAACTTCCTAAATTTGCAAAACAAATAAACCTACAGATTCAAGAACCTAAGCAAACTCCAAATGAGATAAACCTCCTAAAATCCACAAGACACATCATGG